ACCCCCGGAGTGCCTCCTCCACCCTAACTACCCTCGCCACTAAATCATCCCTCTGTACCTCGCCCACCTCCTTCCTGATCCCCCTAATCTCCTCCTCCACGCTAATGAGCCTTCCCGATAGCTCCCCTAGTCGCTCCTCCAAGCTACAGACTCTGCATACCTGGCATACCTCTCGTTCACTAGTCCCACCTACCCAATCCCCGCAACGAACGCATCTACACATCCTAGGCATCTTACTTAATGTTATTGATCCCTATTGACACTCCTACTGCTTTAGACTTATACTTTGCAGTACTTCACACTAGTTGTAACCCGGTAAGACTGCACTGTCCTAGTCCTTGTAGTAAAAGGAATACTACGAGTAATGAGCTAATACTTAAAGTAATTAAGCTGATTGATACTGATCTAATGTGAAGTTGGAGGTAGCAATCAGAAAACTTATGAATACTGCTACAAAGTAGCCAGGTAACAACTAACTCACGACTTAGCTGACAGAACCTCGAGAGTATCCTCCAACACGTCCTCACGCTACGAACGCTCGACCAAGACTGATTTACTGGATGGGAGCTTGAATTCCATTGCTGAAAGGGAAGAATCATACATCTTATGACTTTGCCAATCCTTCACAAAGACATACTCACAAATCAGACCTTCTGAAACGAATGGGAATCGATGTTTGCACAATCGACAAAGAAACTTGGACTACTAAATTCTTTTTTTTTAAGCAAATGGGAAGAACGTCATCAATTCACTGCCAAATGAACCATGGGAAACGTGTTTTCTTCGCCATTCCACACGAGTACACAGTGGCGCCTCGATCAGTCGACATGGGACATCAGTCAGACTGCTCGAGCGCAGCAACGTTCTGCCCAGATTCATATCTTTGGCTGGACATAACGTGTCACTACCGATGTTTGAGCAGAAAATGGAAAATAGTCAAGAACCCGTGTAGGTAGTGGCGAGGAGAATGTGCCTTTGCTTGTTGTTGCATGTAATTCAGGCCGCATTCAACCTGTCTTCCATCGAAATTCATGCGAATGGGTCTCTCCGATCCAAGTGGTCCTACTACCAACTTCTGTCCTATCGCCTTTTCAATTTCTCATCTGCTGTAAAACATGGATATCCATTTCACAGGCCCTTGTGAAAATTAACTTATGTGCTTTTTAAATTAAAAAATATAATGCAAACCAGACTTGGAATAATTTGGGGGGAGGAGGGTGGGAGAGGGTGACGGTCCCGACCCCCCCCCCCCTCCCATTTCATGATCCAAATGTAGTACTAAGAGTCCCCACTAGTTGGTATCCATGTTCCCTGCACCCTTCAAATGCATTTAAGTACCTGCCTTCTTGATTTAGCTAAAGTGTTTCCTCTTTCCTCTTTTTATTGTGCAATTTATGGACAGATATGAAGAAAGCATGAAATTATGATGTTTTTACTACAATATATGACTCGGGAAATTATTAAATACTGAAGTTAAATATGGGAATACACAAATGTACAAGAATATGGATGATTAGAGTGCAAGTCTTATTGATGCTCAGAGGTTATGACCAGTAAGTTCGTGGGCCCCCCTCACTCCCCACTCTCCAAGACATTTATACCTACTATGACAAGTAGCCAAGAGGAGCCACACAGTCGAGCACTGGCGGTGTAAACTTTGATTATTTGCAACATCAGCTACTTTGTGCAAATACTTCACGTTCAAATTTCCTTCAGGAGGCTGGAAAGGTAGGACCCGGAGCAACAGCCCCCTTTGCCCCCCCCCCCCCCTCCCCTTAATCCTACCCAGGTAAAGTGCATAGGGTCTCTCATACCATTTATTTTGTAAATTGTACGACTAAGTAATCGTAGTCTTGCTCATCCCCTCTCGGTCCCGTGTAGGATGCGGAACAGGGGAGCAGTGGGTCATCTTGAGTACTTTTCTGAGTACGCTCGAGCTCCAAGTTCATGAGGCGAATTGTATATGCGTGAGACTTTAGGTCTCGTCCCAGTTGCGATTAATCCCACCAACGACCTACCGTAATGTGCTTGCCCTCTAGCGGCCCGGAATGTGGCGGGCCAGTGCTGGCAAGTGGGACATGCACCTGGTGACCCACAACCTTGTCAATGAGGTGGGCCACCACCTTTCTTCCCCAAACGTAGTTTGTGGCCCACCACCTATGCGCTACTTGGGTGTCTTTCGAACTTTTTGCAGCCTTTGGGATGAAAGTTCAATGGTCTGCTGGGAACGTATCACAGTGCACATTTCTTGAAAATAGCTACAGTGGGAGAGGAGATATATCAATTAAAAATTGTCTCTCTTTCTTTTTTGTCATACTCCGCATATTGAAGAATCATGGTCACGTCCCAATGTCAGCACACAAGCGCCATCTAATAAATATTTGGATGAACTGTCCGTTGGTGTTGAAATGAGGGTTGGGACAATATGATTTGGCACTGATTAAACTTAGGTTGTGAAGTTCAGTGAACTCTACTCGGGTTTTCGACCAGTCGAGGACCTAGCTTTACGCACCGATCGAATCGATTTTGTTGTCGCAGGCCTGTATAGTACTCTAAACCTAAGCAGACCGTCACTGTGACGTAAGCAAACATGTCTCCGTACTGAGTTCCGTTGGGCGTTTCCCGACTCCACGCGTTGTATTTAAGACCTGAACCTGCAATGTTTTACCCTAATATCGATATATTTGAGGTCTGTGACGCTGGACTGTAACATCCGTGAACATCATGAGCGCTAGTTTGAGCCTGAGTTCGGTTCTGTGGATCGGTTGTGGGTTTTGTCTTGGACTCGTGGCCTCTCGGATGAGGTTCATGGGCCGGACGCTCAGCAGGCTCCCATCTGTGCCACGTGAGAAAAGTAGGCAAGGACAGGATGTGTCGAAGAAAAAGGAACTCTCAGATTCAGAAGATGAGGTGAGTTCCAAGAGGACCTAAAGGGTTGAATGCAGGAAAGGATCCTTTTCATCAAAATGCTCCATGAGTACCATGAAGTTTAATGGAAACGTCTATTATGTGTATACGTACTTGTGGAATTCTGGGAATTTCTCATCCTGGAGAGAAAAAAAAAACATCGGAGGCCAATATTGAATTGTAGGGAGTGTCACCAATTTCACATGCATGCCATATAGCAAGGTATATAGAAACCCATTATTTATATGGGCATTAAGAAAAGGCATGGAAGGAGGGACTCCCTGGGGATTTTCCAATGGGGTTGATTAGTCTGCTGATTGGAGGAATTTAGACAAGATGAGCATATACCCAATAATGCAGGAGGCGGGAGAATAGGGTAGGGTTTGCAAGAGCAGAAAACAACACAACATGTGATGAACGGAGTGAATGTATATGTATACATTATCACTTGACTTGGCCTCCTACTTACAAATCCTGTATTTTTGACCCTGTAAGAGTGCCTAGGTCTCTAATGCCTATTATTTCAAATAATTTGGTACTCATGCTGATCTTCTGTTAGTGAAGTGGTCCCTTTATTCTTTTTCCAGACGTTTGAGAGCAATGGTGAATACAAGCTGATCTTGGTGGTGAGGACAGATCTGAAGATGGGCAAGGGGAAGGTGGCAGCTCAGGTAGGTCTAAGGTGGTTTGTAGAGATCTTGAATTTCATTTGATAATTGAATCCCAAGAGAGACTTTTGAATTTTTTTCCCAGTGTGCCCATGCATCAGTATTGGCCTTTCGGCAAGCAATGACAAGGAATCCTGAGATGCTTAAGATGTGGGAGCTCTGCGGCCAACCCAAGGTTGTAGTGAAAGTGGATGATGAATCCATTTTGAATGAATTGGCAGTTCATGCACGAAGTCTTGGCCTTATTGTCAGCATCATTCGTGACGCGGGAAGGACCCAGATTGCTCCCAACAGCAAGACAGTGCTTGGGGTTGGTCCAGGCCCTGTGGATCTGGTCGATAAGGTCACTGGGCATCTCAAGCTGTTCTAACCTCTATTTTGATTTTGCAAAAGTTTCTCAGCATTTTTGATCTTGGTGTCATGCAATTGATGGCAATGAAGACATGCAGTGGTGAAACAAGAAGGCATGTTTTGTCACTTTGCATTATGGGAACATTTGTTTTGGTGAGGCCAAATATGCTGTACCTCATAGAATGCAAATTGCACAATTGGCAGGATGGCTCTGGTAAATCATCAGGTAATGAGCATCTTGGAATGATCCAAAGATAAACTATGGGCAAGCAGGCAACAATTTTACAAAGGTCACAGTGAACCAAAAAAGTAAACTAGTGTGAAAATTAGTACTACAGGGAAACCATTGGTATTTGTTTCATTAATGGTGTTTCCTGCAATGAGAAATCAATTCTGCACATACCTGCCAATTTTTGTCAAGGTGGGGTTGGTGGTACAGTGGTGGTATAGATATGAAAAGCAGCATTCAAAGTGATTGACAAAAGCTCAAATGCAAGCATGGAGTCAACTTTCTCCATGATAATTTATACTCACTGTCATATCTTGAGGAACTTTTACCCTATTTTTTGGCTATTTGCTTCTGTAACTCCTTGGGAAAACGCCTTTGAGGAAAAATTTGATTTACTGCCACATTCAGTACGAAATTGATACTGGAGGAGCTACTGAAGTGAATGGTCAAAGAGCATGGTGCAACATTCCTATAGGTTTGACTGCAATTGATGAGTTGCAACATCATTTACTTACATGCATTTGAGCATGTGGCAGTCATTCTGAACATTACTCTTTGGTATCCTGTCATCATTTCACATACCCCTCTATGACAAAAAATTAGAGATATGGGCAGAATTACTTTTTGTTTCTATTGCCAGAAACTACATTTATCTATTAGCGATGGTTTTCCTAGGGCAGCAATTCCTAAACTCTCTACCTCTGCATACCACTTGCTTCTAGGGTGCATATGTAGCATTCCACCACCTGCCCCACATGTGCATATCCCACAAAGTATATTTGACTAGTACTTTATTGCACAAGTTAAAAAAAATGAGTATATTTGGAAACTGCTTGCATACCACCAGTGATACATGTACCACAGTTTAGGAACCACTATCCAAGGGTATTATTCTTCACTGACTTACTTTTTTTGGTTTGTCATGAAAATCACCATATGCATTCCATGCAGTAAATTTTAATTCAGTTAGTTTGGATTTTTATTTGGTAGTGTTCATACAGGGGTAAAATGTTAGTTCAAAGCTGTTCAAAGTTATTCTGACTGGTTATCACTGAGGAATGCTGGAATTCCAGGTTCCAAATTTTCCTCAGTATGTTAATTCTGTGCTGGCTTGCAAATGAAGACATTTAGGATCACACTTTATTTTCTGGGTAATTGGCAACATCTCTGTAATTGTAACAGGTTAGACAGTGTAAGGTGGGTTATCAAAAAACTGATAGAGGGGTTCTCCATCCAGGTCCAACTCGTACTCCAAGCAGATGTCTCCGAATGTTCTGAAAGTTATGTAAAACAGATAGGATTTTGCCTTTAAGAAATCATGACAAAACTCCAAATTTCGGGATTGAAATTTACATGATCATTGAACACGAACTGACTGAGCAAAGAAAGTCAATGGTTTGAAATTTGCCAAAGTACAATCATATTTCTTCTGAGGGGAGAGTAAGAGTACCCTAGAGGTACTTATTGTTGTTGTTATGAGCCTTACCCCTCCCAGTATTCGAGGCAGCCGACGATAGGGAATTCCTTCTTGAAACATTTCATCAAGAGGATGTGGAAAAAGAAGTCCCCAACTCCATTGCTGGTCACATCGTTCACTCTATGAAGGCACTCTGCGAAGAGTCTGTCACATTCGCAGTGTGACCTATATAGTAAATCACACCATACATTGATCAATGGAATTATCATAAGGTCCATAGAGGATATACAACTCACAACACGAATTGGCGTGGAAGCAGTGTGGAAAAGCAAAAATTTTGCATTTTCCATCACTCCCTTTCAAATGCCACTTTATTTTAAGTATTTCAGAGAGGTACAATGTTCAGTGTGTGGAGAAGCAAGGGTTTGAATTGCATGGTTCACTACCACAGATGTTCAAATTGTTCACCGTTAGCATCCAGGCACTGTTGACAGTTGACTGTTGGTGAGGT